ATTCCAGTAGTACCTCATCTCCTGGCACTCCCACTTAGGATAAACACTGCTCTCATTTCCCAGGAAAACTCTGTCTTTTGAAACAACCTCAGGGCTCCCAGGACACAGCACTGAGTGAGATGGTGCTGAGGGGCAAGTTCAGCAGCTCCAGTTTTACACTCTCATTGCAAGAACGGAGTTCTCAGCACAGTCAAGTCTGAGAGAGATTAATCCTGGTATTGCTTATGTTTCTGGTAATGTTTTCCTTTAATCACCAAAAAACCCAGGAACACTTATTGACATGCTTCAGGTGTTTGGCTTGAGTGACTGTGAGCTAGAGATGAGGTGCTGGTATAGAGAATCTACTGTGCAGCCAAAAGCACAAAGGTTGTTTATTAGAAACACTTCATCCTCCCAAAATGCCTGTTACATGTCAGCCCTTAAGAAATTCTGCTTCCCCCTTACTTGCTAATGAATGCTAAAGCCCCTAAATGATCTTGCAACTCATCCCATTCTAAAAGGCTCCAGCAAGGTGTCAATGGCATTGATTGCCATTCCATCTCATGACCATCTTTTCTTTTCCTCTACACACCGTTGCTATTAAAAAAAAAAAGCAGTAAATCAGTTTTACAACAAAAACCAGGCGGTTCAATACATGAAAATTCGACCTCACTGTTACTTAATGCCCAGGCCTCAGTCAATACCTCAGGCAATGCAAATCATCTAAAGTTTGCACCTCAAAGTATAGAGGTTATGTTTCTAAAGACCCACAGAATGACATAAAAATCCATTTTGGAAGTCAAGCTGTCTTCTAAGTTTCATTCACACTGCACTACTACTCTCAGGAAAAAAAAAAGAGGGAGAAGGTCAGATGAACTGTAAAAAAAGAGAGGTTAGAGAAGAACTTGTGCTTCCTCTTCTTTGTGACCTCTTTGTGCTGCATCTATTGCCACAAGCTCACAGGGGCAGAGTGGAATCTGGGAGATGGGAAAAGGCACGGAAAGAGGTGTAGATGGATCTGTTTCTCACCCTGTCCCTTTGCTCCTGCTTCCTAGTCGATGTAGCAACCACAGCATGGGGGTTTGCTATAGGCTCTTCCACTGCCAAGGTCCATCTCAGCCTGGGCCTGTGGATTGCACCCAGAACTTCTGAAAGTCCCTGACTAAAGAGCTACTACAGCTATTTCTCCTCAACTCACACATTGTTGAGAAAAAGCTGTCCTCAAACAGCCCTTTCAAAAGGAGATATTGTCTTCATAATTATCCAAAGCCCCCTTTGTTGTGCAGACCAAAATTCTTTGTATTTCCACTTCAATCAGATTTTTCATAGGTAATTTATCTAAAATAACCCAAAAGAGCCTTAACTGCTGTTTCAAGTGAAAACAGCCTGTCCCACACTGAGCCAAGTTTTGTGTTCAGTGTTGGAAACATCTGACAGGTATCGTGCCCTGCCCAGAATTAAGACAATTCTGAAAACATGGAATTGTCACCACAGACAGTAGAGCTGTCATTTCTTTTGCTTGGGTTTGCTTTTTAGGCTTGATTGGAAATACGCTCAAAGATCAGGAGATTCTGAGGTCCCCAGAAGGGACCTGTCACTGAAACATGAACCTAAATAGCTTCAGAAAACAAAGTTTCAAAAAGGGAAAAAAATCTAATCTGTTTTACAGAACTGCTTCGTTCTGTGCTGCCTGCAGGTCCTTTCTGCCTTACACACTGGTCAGCTCTGAAGGCCAAAAGTAGAATCATGGGACAGATGCTGCAATGAACTGGGGTAAATCAGTTTTTTCTCTACTGTCTCTTGGAATAGAGTTAGCTTTGAATAATGGGAAATACACACTGGTGAAGAGAAAAATAAGAATACTGATGACTGCAAAGAATAATTTGCAAGTGGCAGCAACATTATAAACATGATTTTAATGTGCTGTGAATTGCAAGCACTTGATACAGAGGGGATAATATATTGATTTTCCTCATTCTGCACTGTGCATGTCACCAAGATCAATGGAAGTCACATACCTACACCAAGGAAATTGCAATGCATGGAATTATTTATGGAGTAGCTGCTTCAGGTACACACCAAGTGCAGCATCATCCTGGCTAGAGTTACGGCCAGAAGACAAAACCATCTATTACATATTGTAAATGACAAAGCTTGCAATCTAACATTGCTCCACAGCATTTTTCATAAGCTAAAGGAAGAACTAATAGAAGGAATTTTGTACAGCTTTTTTTTTTTTTTTAAGCAGCAATAAACATTGTGTAGTATATCACCAGGAGCCAATGATTCCACTTACAAACCAAGTCACTAGCACACAGCCACTGGCAGTGTCTCCAGCACAGGGTTGTGCAATGTACACTGAAGGAAATACACCAAAACCTCTGTGATTGCTTCTGGACTGCCCAAAATTCTGGGCCATCAAAGCTGCTGAAAAGCAGCAGCAGACAGAAGCTCAGCATCTCCCCAGTTGTGGAGGCAGGAAAGCAGGAACCCTCGAGCACACACTGCCCTTCCCCAACAGGCAGCAAAGCTGTGTCAGATGGGCAGGGAAAGAAAAGCTTTGCAGCTACACAGGCACCTGTATAATTTCACCTCTCCAAATGATGGCATAGCTGATGAAAGCTGCTTTAGGACCACCAGTTACTTTACAGCTCCCTTTGTCTCACAGTGCTCTGTCTCCTGCTGCTAACTGCTGGAAGGAGTCTTTCAAGGAGCAATGCAGGCTGTTAGCATTCTGGAGGCTAAAATGGAATTTTTCTTGCCTACTTGTCCTTTTGAAAGTCTTAAAAGAAAATTGTGGCAATCAGCATAAAGGGATTTGATGGACAGAGTTTAGCAAAGTAATCTGGAGAAGATTCATTGGGTGGATATGGCTAAAATTGGAAATTAAATGGCAAGGAGTTCTCTGTCTGCTCTTGAAACAAAACAGGTTCTTTAGGATGCGAAAATCATTCTAAAAGCTTCTACAAGTAGTTAATGAAAAGTTTAGAGAGGCACAGCCTAATCTTTCAAATAACAGTCTGCAAGAGTGATCAGATCAAAATAAACTACAGAAGGGCAAGTGCCACAATGAGCACCAAACACAGCTGAGGACCTCACATAAACCTCAAACAGCTGCCAAGCTGCCCTCAAGGAAAATATAGGAGATTTAGCTGGAACACCATTTCTTCCTGGGGAAATTAGGGCTTTTTTCTCCCCCCTTTAGCCTGGCTGCTCTTTACTCTGCTCTCTCACACTGCCTTTCTCTACAATTCACCTTACATCTGCTTTAGTTCAAGGTTGTTTCAAACCCGTTTCCAAGGGAAGGGCAGGATAAAGCCTTTCTCTGTTTTGAACTACAGGAAAACCACAGAACTCACTTTTTTTGTGATGGTGCTTCAAACTCATATACTCATTGCTCATTTATTTGTTTTCTCCAGTTTTTTTTGCTTTTCACCAGTCTTTTGTGACTTCAAATTACACTGAACTGCAACTATAACTAATGTGTTTCACTTCTATGCTTTCAAATCAGTTATGTGATATAAAACCACTTTAAGTCACTTACATTTTAGTCTACAAAAACCTACTTTTGTACTAACAAGTCAGGGTGTTTTTAAAATCGTGTTTATGTCTATGAAAATTTTCCAATCCATTACTCAATGCTATTCTAACATAATAATGATTTTATGTAATCAGTTTTGCTGTATCTGGTAATTTACTGAAGCTTACATACTTTTGTATTTACTGGAGACATAACAGAAAAAAACATGTTTGAAATGCCAACAGAAATGAAGTTTAAAACAGAAAAATTCAGAATTCGTTAATGATAGAACATGGAGTTACAAGAGGGTGCACACAAGTCACTCACTCAGGGAATTGCTGCAGACACAGAGGGATTTGCACAGGCTAAGGACCAACACCTCACACTGCGCCTTGGGAACCAAAGGGACATCTGAACCATCTCAGTCCACTGCTCATTCACTCTGCAAAATTCCCTTCTCTCTTTAGTTTGTCTATCTTTGCCAAAAGACCAAAGGATCCTGTGTGTGTAAAGCTACAGCTTTAACCCAGACATTAATCACCTAAATCTGACAACACTTCAGGTCAAGAATTACCCACTGCAGATTTCAAACATGGTTGTTAACTTGGTATGATCTTTGCAAATCCAGCAGAGAAACAATCTGTGTTACACAAGTGCAACATGTGATTCAGCTGCTTCTTTGCAGGCTGAGCAGGATATTTTCCATCAGCTTTGCAGTCACCTTTGCTATACAATATTCTCGTGTTGTGGGTAAATGGTTTTTAACCTCCTTAGAAAATATTATGCAGCATTCATTAAAACCAATGCTGAAAGTTTCTTTAGAGGATCGACCATCTGGATTCCTTCTAGGAGCAAAACTTGTTGACTCAAAGAGGTTTTTTCATTCACCAAAGACTCAGTAATCAGAAATCTTTGCACCTTTTCATTACACATCGCTGATTACATCAGCCTCGATGTCTGCAGAGTTGCAATTTAGAATAATATATGTTTTAAGTTTTTTAAAAGGCAGTAAACATGTTATCAGCTATTAATGGCAACCCCCAGTAGTGCAAACTTAGGGGGATGTTACTTTGAATAACTTCCAATATTTAATAACGCACTAATCAGAATTGCCATTGATAACAAATGCTTATTGGTGTAACTCCTATACAAAGCATTTAATGACTCTGTAAACGTGTTAGAAATATTCTTAAAACACAAAAATAAGGTTTTTTTTAAGAGTAACTGTTATTCTCCTTGGTCAGATTCTAAAGTCAGAGAACTGACACTGACTTTACTGACACTAGGTACAAGATTTCATGCATCTGTCTCAGAACCTGTTCATTAGTGATCAACCACACCTTGCAAAGCCCTTTGAGCCCCGAGTGACTTACCAGCTGGGGCACAGCAGCTCAGCCCCCTCAGCCAGGGCTGGGGGCACCGACTGCAGCTCTGGACTCTTCTGGGCTGCAGGTCCAGGCCTAGCTCCACAGGCAAGGGACCGGCAAAAAGCTCCACATACCTCCTCATGCAATCCAGAGCCCGAATGAAGAAGTCCTTGTGCAGCTGGTGCTCGTCCCTCAGGATGGAACACTGCTCCAGCGTCACTGACATGGACGTCCTGTCTTTGGCACTTTTGCAGCAGGTGAAGCGAACTCCATTCAGCTTGCGGCAAATCTGAAATGCAGAAGGCATCTAATGGGCCCCTCAGGTCAGGAGGGACATTGAGGGGCTGGAGCAGGTCCAGAGAAGAGCAACGAGGCTGGTGAAGGGACTGGAGCACAAGTGCCATGAGGAGAGGCTGAGGGAGCTGGGGGTGTTCAGCCTGGAGAAGAGGAGGCTCAGGGGAGACCTTCTCACCCTCTGCAACTCCCTGACAGGAGGTTGGAGTCAGGTGGGGGTTGGTCTCTTCTCCCAGGCAACCAGCAGCAGGACAAGAGGGCACAGACTCAAGCTCTGCCAGGGGAGGGTTAGGTTGGAGATTAGGAAGAGATTTTTTACAGAGAGGGAGCTCAGGCATTGGAATGTGCTGCCCAGGGAGGTGGTGGATTCACCATCCCTGGAAGTTTTCAAGGTGAGACTGGATGTGGCACTTAGTGCCATGGTCTAGTGACCATGGTAGGGATGGACTTGGTGATCTTCGAGGTCTCTTCCAAGTACAGGGCAGTAAAGGAGAACCTATGAGTGTTTCTTCCCTCCTATAACTCGAAATGTTAAAACAAATCTGTTTAAAATTTGAAAAGTTGCATTGGGATTTAAATAAAGCACTGGATGATAATTGTCTTAAATAATGCTGCCTAACTGAAGACATCAGTTCACTTTACACCAGTCTCTTTGCAATCCCTGAGTCACTGTGACTATTCGACATGAAGGAGTCATAAAACACCCCAAGTAATTACTCTGGGGGAGTTATGGGCTCTAGTGCAGGGAACAGAGCCTGAGCCCCAGGTCTGGACAGGCACAGACACAGCCACGTGAGGCTCAGTTGCCACCTGAGAAGCATTGTAGGCACAGCCAGGAACAACTTTAGTTTGCACTCTAGTTCTGTACAAATGTCTCATTAATTTTAAAGCTGATCAAACAGAAAACAATCTGTTAACTCAAATAATCAAATTAAAAAATCCTTCGACTGTGATTTAAGGGGAAATGCAGGCTGACCTGACAGGCTGGCCCAGATCAGCCCTTAGATGGGCTCAGCTCACTGAGCAGCAGCAGAAGTTAAACAGAGTAAATAACTGAGATGGGGAAACACATTGGTGATGCTCTAGAAATCTAATGAGAGACAACAGCAAATTGAAAGAAGAAATTTAGGTTAGCTACCAGGAAAAGGTTTTCCCTGTGAGGGTGGTGAGACCCTGTGCCAGGTTGCCCAGGGAGGCTGTGGCTGCCCCAAGCCTGGCAGTGTTCACAGCCAGGTTGGCTGAGCCTTGAGCAACCTGCTCTGGTGGGAGGTGTCCCTGCCCAGGGCAGGGGGTTGGGGCTGGGTGATCTCTGAGCTCCATTACAACCCCTAAACTTCTGTGATTCTATGATACAGTAACACCGTCACAGCAGAACACATGGTTAATTATTAGTGTCCAGTCCAAATCCTATCCTCAACTTCACTCACATATTCCCCAAACATATTCAATAGGAGGAGAAGAAATAGACTTAACATTTGTTAGCTTTATTCTCACAGCCCCATTGCAACAGGGATTTCATGCAGGTGCAGATACATATGCACATCCTTGTAGAACTTCATACATCTCCTGCAATAACAGAGTTATGCCCTTACACCCTGCTCAATAAATAAATAGAACACAGTATAACAGATCAGTAGCTCCAGAAATGCACATTTCAGAAGGTCACAGCAAGGTAACCCAAAGAGAAATAGGAAGAACAAATTTAAAACACTTTCTATGTGCAAAGAATGCTTTTTACCCATGAAACTATTCTCAGGGAACCCCAAATAGACTTTAGAACACAACTTTCTACATCTAAAGATTTAGCACATTCTGTCATATTCTTTGTAGCTCATTCTGTACTCTCCTGTCCTGATATATCTTTGCTTTTTTAAAAGCAATGTTTCATAGTAATTGCAGAACTGGTGCTGTGAGAAGAGCTTAGATTTTTACTCACAAAGGATTTATACTGCAATAGCATGTGATAATATTTATTAACCACATGGCAAAATGGTATTGGCCATATAAAAAATAACAGCAGTATTGTTAGCACAAAGACATAGGTAATATTGTCTTTTTCCTGGTGGTAATGAAAAGTCACAGGAAGTTTTATTTATCATTTTGTATCAAATATTCATTTGCCTGGAAGGGTACATGTGTTTGAGAGTCTCCCAAAACACAAAGGTTTGCTTCAACTTCAGTAGATACCAAGGACACACGTCCCTGCTTGTATGAACAGGCAGAAACACCCAGGGAATGTGTCCAAATCTGAGACAATAACCTGGCTGAGCTTCCCATTGATGAAAAGCTTGAGCTCTCTACAAACATCTATGGGTTGTTCTGTTAGCCCTTTTGGTTTTAACATGTATATACAAGACCCACAGGATTACGAATTACAGAATCAAAGAATTATAGAATCAGCCAGGTTGGAAAAGACCTCCAAGATCATCAAGTCCAACCCTACCGTGGTCACTAGACCATGGCACTAAGTGCCACATCCAGTCTCAGCTTGAAAACCTCCAGGGATGGTGAATCCACCACCTCCCTGGGCAGCACATTCCAATGCCTGAGCACTCTCTCTGTTAAAGAGAAAGGAAATAGAAAGGAATTATGTGCCTAAAGCAAAGTATTATTCACTGTTTGATAGACTATTTGTGTTCTCCTGTGTCTGAATATGTGTCCTTTCCACACCTACTTATTTTGTGTTGCTGTCTGTGCCCTTGGAGTGGCTGTCACAGGGACAGTGCCTAAAAACCACCACAAACAATATGGGGCTCACTAAAATTTGTACTGACGCAACCAAACACTTCTTTATGAAAGTACTTTAAGTACAGAACATCAAAAGCTGAAGGCAGCAAGAGTAAACAGAAGCCAGAGCAAGTCACACATCATTCCTCAAGGCTTATGGACACTAAAGAAGAAGTTAGTTTGAATAACCAAATTTTATATCATCAAAGAATAGAGATGACTTTAAACACAAAAAAAGGTTAGATCCTGTAACTGACTCCTGCATTATCTCTCCTGTATGAGGTGATGTATTTACAGCTATGTGTGGTCATTCAAAGGAATCATTCTACACACACAGGGGATTCCTCTACCTAAAACCAGACTCAGTTAACTGAAGGAAAAACATGCCCCAAACAAAACCCAAACCTCTTTTCACCTGTTACAACTCACTGAGCTCCATGAGAAGTTGTGCAGGTGGGACAAAACCCCTCCAAGCAGCAACACAGGCAACAGAGTGCCTGGCCAGGAGGAAACCCACAGGACAGAGCCTGGAGAATGTAGGGACAACAGAGCAACCAAGACCATCACTAGCTTTGAGTTCTACTTGGTTCTACCAGTTGAAAGGTGAGAAAAAGGAGATAACTGTAATTTGAGTGGAGGAAGAAGTGATACATCCCTAAGTGGGAGAGAGGCCATGAGAATGAGTGTGTTAGAGAGCTACTGCAGCACATCTGTACATTAATCACCGAGTTCTCCAGTTACATCCTGAGAATCCCTGGCACCCACAGGGTCAGCAGGCACTGAAAATTAGCCCTTCATGGGAAAGTATGTGAAACAAGAGCTCACCGTCGCTGCCAGCCACATGATTTCTACATTCTTTCTCTTTTTGGCCTGGATATTTTGATGGAGATTTTCTAGCAATCCCTTTAAATCATTTTGTTCTTGAAAATGTGATAGACCTGAGGAAAAAAAAAAAAAGGATGAGAAGGTTGTTCGTTATGATAAGGTTGATGACGTGGCTGTCTGGACTAGAGAATGGCCATAGTGAAGAACAGCTCCAGTATTTACATCCCAGGAGCACAGGATGGAAATGAGCACCTACATGTTTAGGGAATGTTTAATAAACCTCAAGTATTGACTTGCCCTCCCTAAGATCTTCACCATGGAAAAGTAAAATGTCTTTAACTTTTGTCCTTTAAATGGATGGTGAAAACCAAAATCAAATCTCTGCTGCAGTTCATCAGCTGTTATAGGCATTCAGTGGAAATCAGAAGAGAAAAATCTGAGTGTATTAAAACCTGCTTTGATTGGATGATTTCTTTTTATGCCAAAGTCAAAATATTTTGCTTTTTTTCCCAAATGAAACATCTCATTTTTGCTTTGAAGTGACACCTTAGAGCTCCTTATACAGCATAATATGAGGGTCTGTTAGCGTAGAAAACACATAATCACAGAATGATTATATGGGTGCTTTTATTGAAGAGCTCTGGGAGTCGGGGTACAGACCCAAATCTGACTCCGACATGGTTCTGAGATGGATACATTTTTATACTCTTCTCTTACATAACCATGGTATAGTCATATGTTAATCATTACTTTGCTATTGTTCTATTGATTTCATCCAAGCATGATTCGAGTTCTCTTTCATCCTTGTTATGCTTCACCCAAGCATGAGTTTCAGTCCCCCTTCCATCATTGTTGTATTTCACCCGAGCATGAGTTCGAACCCCCTTTTCCATGATGGTGGTATAATTATCTGTTATTTAGGGGGTACGTACAGGTAGGTACCCAGGTGTACATGCACAGGTACACATCGACCTGCTAAGATAATAATCACTCTTCTCATTAAGGCCTATTCTAGCTACCTTGCCACTAAGGCCTACTTTAGCTACCTTGCCACTGAGGCTTACTTCAGCTAGCTTGCCACTAAGGCCTACTTTAACTCCCATGATTTAAGAAACATTTTATCCCATGTTATCAGGTCAAACAGCACTAAATATCCCCCTGAGATTAACAAAATGTAATGGGACTTTCATTCTGAAATACAAAATAATTTCAGGTTCACTTCAAACCCAACACTTTACCTGCTTGCTCTGGGTATGGCAGCTGAGATGGAGTTTGGTTTATCATACAACTCTCGTGAAAATTCAAGAAGAGCTAATTTAGTTTCCTCTTCTGTTTCAGGTGCAGCTATAGGAGGGTTTTGTTCAAATGTTACTTTTATCTTTACTAGTTTTGAAAATCAGTGGAAACAACTAAAATCTGCTTTTTGAAATTATTTCTCTTCGTAGTGGTGAAGGAAAAAAATGTTTAATTATAGTTATCACCAAAAAAAAAGGCTCAGAATCAGCTGAAACAAAGTGAAACCAAACTGATAAATAGATACAGTTTCTTCAGCAAGAAAAAGTAAGATTCCATGTAGTGGGAAAAAACCCAACAAGAACTCAAGCCCAAGGATTTATATTCAGTTGGAAGAGTAAGAATGAGGTAACTGTTAATGCAGGTCAATATCTGACCAGGATTAACAGGATTGGGTTGAGGCAAACTGTCTTTGCTTTCCCAAGCTGGGATGACCCTCTGACCCACAGGGTTTTGCCTTTTATCTCTAATCAGTTCTGTAGTTTCCCTTATACATGATTCATGGGAAGAAGTAATTTAAACCCCAGATGAGGTTAGTTTTTTGAGGATATTTTCTTGGCAGGATTCCCCTAAATTAATTCCCTAACTTCTTGTAGGAGTTTGTCTGTGGAAAGCCTAGAAACACTCGATGTGTAGGTGGCTGGCTGGGCTCACTGTCCACCTGCCAGGGACAGAGCTTCCACTCCTGTCAGAGCTCACAACAAATTAAAACCATCCTGGCAGGAAAGACAAACTTGTATTAATACACAGTCACATACCAAAGCCTGGCACAGGAATTTACCCATTCACCACCAGGAGTTACACCCATCTCCTGTAGGGTCAGAGATCTTCAGCAGATTCACCCACCACCCCCTCCAAAAGGACCAAGCTAAACCCAAGCTATTGAAAATCAGGCTGTAAAATCTGCAACACTGGGGGCTAGAGTTTAGGCATTAAGACTACTTTAATGGGATTAGATTGATGCAAATCATCTTTTCCATCTTTGCTTTCACCAGTGAGGACAGCAGCACAGCAATGTTTATGTTTACAATATCAAATCTCTATAAAATTGGAGTACAGGGTCTATTTTAATGACCCCATGTTGTTCATATCACTCTGATGTGGCTCATTGCTTGTATTTGCATCTGCAGATTCTCAGTGGTTCACATACCTCAACCCATTTTCAGAATGAAATAGTGGGAATGACTGAAGCTGATGAAAACTCCCACTGAGCATTTCTGTACAAACACAGTAGATACAGGCTTGAAATATTAAGAAACTCATTATTTTTATCTCTTAAAAGAGCTGTTTAGTTCATCATTACCCTGTGGTTGCTGCTGCAGTGCTGGGCAACCACTACTGACTTCAGCAGGTACCAAATGGTTAACTTTATCAAAAAAGTTATGGGTTCAAGGCCTAAAGCTCCAAGCTGCTCACTGAGCTTGTGCTGATATTCCTGTCATATAACTTTTCCCCTCTCAAAGCCATTTGGATAGTGCATTAGTTTGTACTCACAATCAGGAGGCATTTTTTCCATAAACAACTTGTAATATTCTTTGAGAAGTTCTAAGTTTTCCTGGTTGATGTTTTCCTGCAAAGTTGTATCTCCAAACCTATGAAAATGAACAACAAATTATAAAAAAAAAAAAAAAAAAACCCAACAAAACAGCCAAACCAAAACAAAGATACATTATCCTTCAGAATTATTTCTTTGCATAAAGAAATAGCTTTGATGTTTTATTGGTTTAGTGCTGAATGTACTAGATTTTCTCAGACATACAGTTGTTAAGCTCTTGTGTGTTTGGAACTAATGGTTGGGAATGAGGTCATGATTTATGGATAATTCTTCCAAAAAACGTATGAATTAGGTAACCCATTTACAAACATGCAATAAAACACATATCTTTTTCCCCTCACATGTCCAGAATAAATGCAAAGGCTCTTTGGGGGAGTTTCAAATGGCTCCACAAGCAGAGAACATGAGAAGGTCCAAGAGCAGATAACAAAACAGATTTATTTCCAACCCTGAGAGATCCTGCACCAGCACAGAATCCTTGGACAGAAATCAGGACTTTTTCTTACCTCTCTGCAAGGGTTTGCTGCTCGTTGATTCCAACATTGAAGAGCACTGGGTACATGCGAAGAAGTTTCCCTTCTTTAATCTCTTGGGGCAGCAGCTCAAACATCTTTGCTGGAAGTTGGACCTCTATGATGTAATGTTCCCTAGGAAAAATAAAAAGAAAAGTAAGGATGGGAATATAGCTTGGTTTGCTTAAAATGATCTTCCTAAATTACAGAGCACTGTGGACTTAGAAATCAGCTCCTCCCTCCTGCCCTTATTTAAACCATAAAGTGGGAAGATTCAGTTTGGCTCACGAGCATAGCCAAGCTATATGAAACCAGGCAGGAATGGATAGCTAGACATTTGCCACTGACTTCTTCACTGAAGGGAAAATAGCACTAATGATGAGAGCAGCAAAAAAGGTTTCTGGGATCAAAGTATCAATAAGAACACCACAACTCTTAGAAAGCATCTTGCTGTGTTACAAAAACAATTTCCTTCCAAAGTCACCACTTGATCCTGTATCCACTCTACAACTAATAATGCAAAAACCTTTTACACAAACCCAAAGCAAAATTCCCATTTTCTGCAGTGGCTGAATTTTCTCCCTGGGGACAGAAAGCATCACCAGGAACAAAATTTACTCTGTGAAGATAATAATTGAAGGCTCATTACACAAACTCCTATTCTAGGAGAAGGGCTATGATATACAACAGTTCTGGTTTTCTGTTTGAGTTTGGTCTGACTTGACGAACAAATTGTGAAGGTACCAAATATTTAAATATCTGTTATTTACCTAAACAGAACAGCTTAAGATTATCCCTCTCCAGCTTTCTTTGTCTTGCTCTCTAATATTTGTTGCCATCACATATGAAGAGAGGCAAACACTTGCAATGCTGTTAGAAAGATTCTAGAAATGATCCCCCAGAGCTGGGGGGTCATGGACCCTGCCGCTATTTGGAGTTGGCCGAAATCACACACTTCTAGTTCATTGCAATAAACCCAGAACAAGTTATTTACGTGCACCTTTGCACACAAGGACTGCAGCTCAGCCTGGAGGTGCTTCACCCAGCTCTCCTTCCAGCTAAGTACCTAGGTCAGTTCCATGTGGCTATGCCTGTCCAATTTTGGGCTTTCTTGAAAACATGAGGTCAAAGCCTGTGATACCTCAAAGTTCATGTGCACAATCAGAGAATGGTTCAGGCTGGAAGAAATCTTAAGGATCACCTAGTTCCAGCCCCACTGCCCTGGGCAGGGACACCTTTCACCAGCACAGGCTGCTCAGAGCCCCATCCAGCAGGGCCTGGGGCACTTCCAGTGATGCGGCATCAACAGCTTCTCTGGGCAACCTGTGCCAAGTGCCTCAGCACCTCACAGGGAAGGATTTTTTCTGCATATCTAATCTAAACCTTCTTGCAGTTTAAAGCTGTTCCCCCTTGTCCTATCAGTACAGGCCCTTGTAAAATGTCCCTCTCCAGCTTTCTTTTAGCCCCTTCAGGTTGGAAGGCGCTGTAAGGTCTCCCTGGAGCGTTCTCATCTCCAGGCTGAGCAGCCCCACTCTCTCAGCCTGTCTGCATGGGAGAGATGCTCCAGCACTCTGAGCATCTTTGTAACCTCCTCTGGACCCACTCCAATAGGTCCATGTCTGCATCACACTGGGGGTCCCAGAGCTGGATGCAGCTCTCCAGGTGGGTCTCACCAGAGTGGAACAGAGAGGGAGAATCATCTCCCTTGACCTGCTGGCCAAGCTGCTTTTGATGCAGCTCAGGGTACACTTGCTTTTCTCAGATGCATTCTATCAAAGAGTTTTCTCAAAGTGCCTATTTTTGCCAATAACAGGAGAACGCAAGGGCCTGAACTTCAGTTCACTTCAGTTCACCTGCCTGGGCAGGGTCAGCCACCCACAGCAGCAGGTGAGTCCACTGCTAGTCAGTGCCACACTTGGAGGATTGATTGGCTTTGCACACAGAATCTTAAGCACTTCCCTAGAAAAAAAAACCATTACAAGAGAACACCTTGACTCTTCAAGATAAGAACTTGTAGCTTGATTTTCTGTCTTGCATTTCTACAGCCTTTTAGTCTCGTTTTATTGAGCCACAGCATATAACAACCAACATTATCTGAAAATTGTGAGGCTCTTACATGTTAATTAGAAAATAACTAGGTTTTTCCCTGTATTTTCATGGATGACTTCCACTGCTGTCTGATAGGACCAGCCTCATCCCTGCTCTAAGAGGAATGAGGCTCCCCCACAGAAGCAGTGGAGGAGAAAGACCTGGGAGTGACAGTGGATAAGAAGCTCACCATGAGCTGCAGTGTGAGCTCAGCCCAGAAAGGCAATTGGGACCTGAGCTGCATCCACAGGAGTGTGGGCAGCAGGTCAAGGGAGGTGATTCTTCCCCTCTGCTCTGCTCTGCTGAGACCCACCTGGAATACTGCACACAGTTCTGGTGTCTTTAACATAAGAAGGACATGGAACTGTTGGAGCAAGTCCAGAGGAGGCCATGAAGTGCCTAAGAGCACTGGAGCATCTCCCCTATGGGGACAGGCTGAGGGTGTTGGGGCTGTTCAACCTGGAGAAGAGAAGGTTGTGTGGAGACCTCAGAGCAACTTTTCAATCTCTGAAGGGCCTACAAGGAGCTGCAGAGGGACTATGTGTTAGGTGCTGCAGGGACAGGACAAGGGGTAATGGGCTCAAACTGAAGGAGGAAAAGTCTAGGTTAGATATGAGAAAAAAGTTTTTTACCCTAAGGGTGGTGAGACCCTGTCCCCGGCTGCCCAGGGATGTGGTAGCTGCCCCAAACCCAGCAGAATTCAAGGCCAGGCTGGATGAAGCCTTGAGCCACCTGATCTAGTGAGGAGGTGTCCCTGCCCAGGGCAGGGGATTGGGATGATATGATCTATAAGGTCCATTCCAGCCCTTAAATTCTATGATTCTAAGCCTGAAAGATTTCTTATGTTTTTTTTCCTTACAGTGATTCCATCCAGAGAATCCCTGTCAGTCAGTACAGTAGAGCAATCACAGGCAGGAACTCTCCTTCCTGAAGGACTTCATCAGTACAGAATGCCTGAGGCAGCTCAGAGCTCAGGTCTCCTTCAAAGCCAGGACCTCCTCCAGCCCTTAAATTCTATGATTCTAAGCCTGAAAGATTTCTTATGTTTTTTTTCCTTACAGTGATTCCATCCAGAGAATCCCTGTCAGTCAGTACAGTAGAGCAATCACAGGCAGGAACTCTCCTTCCTGAAGGACTTCATCAGTACAGAATGCCTGAGGCAGCTCAGAGCTCAGGTCTCCTTCAAAGCCAGGACCTCCTAGCGTGGCAGTTCAGGGAGCTGCAGGGATGGCACAGAGCCAGTGACTGGAGCTGCTGGATTTATCAAGGTTTTGTGACTGCTGTGATTTACAAAGGATGTATTTCTTCTGCTTTATCTACACACCATAATTATTCTTAATTATTCCCAATGTGTTGCCTATCATACTCCAGCCTTCCTGCTATTTATTTCAGTCCTTTCTCAGAAGGCCCATAGGATGAGAGTGAATCATCCCAAATAATTAAGTAAATCAGTGGTGAAAGCCCCTTCAGAGGCAGCATATATTTTCTAGAAGTTGCTGCTTTTAGCTGAATTTAATTTACAGTCATCTTAAGAATAATGATACTATTAAGGAAGTGATTGCTGCAGAAGAGAAAACATTCGGAGCTTCAGACTAGAATAATAATGAAGATGAAAAATCCATTCCTCCTGTCTGGTTAACCCTCCCCTAGCCACAGCTAATGAAGTGTTTCAGGTTATGTGCTGATATTCAGCAGTGCTTGTGTGAGATTCTTGTCTTTGGTTAGTATCTCTGTACAACCAATGCCCCAAGAACTCTGCATGGCCCAGACACTGCTCTGATTAATTTGGATTAGTAACTGAAACTTTCAGCCTTCCATCAGGAAAGCAACCCAGAGCAAACCACTGGCTTTAAGAATCCCTACTACCTAATCACAGCTCCATTCACCCTGTGAAAATAAAACCACTGCACTTCCCCTCTAATTCAGCAAGAAGAAAACCATTATCTGGGTGTTCCTGTGCTGCAGATTAAACCCACAGGCTCCAGCAAACCACGTCCTTACCGCCTCCCACTTATAACAGGCAAAAAATCTTCTGATTTGGCTTCAATGACTTTAAACATGACTTTCTGCAAGTCTGAAATGCCCACAGCCATGTCTTCCAGCATCCCTGCTTCTTCACCTATGTGGAGAGATTAAAGAGGTTATTAGCAGAGTTGACAGATCAGTTGCTCTATAGGTTAAAGCAAAGCAATACAGGGATTATATTTTCCAGTCTGTGCATCTAAAAATCACAGCCCTAAATCCACATTAAAGTAACCTACATAAAAACAGGCAGATTTTTTAGAACTGCTGACAATTCTGTGGCCTAAATGATAACTACGAGCACTAAGTGCCTCTGAAAATCAGCCTGATCTACATGTGCACAGAATAACCTGGGAAAAGCCATTTCTGTCTGTGCTGGAAGTGTTTTGAAAGACTGTCCTGCTGATGGAGGACAAAGGTTTTGAGAATAACAACAATGAGCATTATGCAAAGGAAGAGTGACAGCAATCTCCAAGAGAGGAGCTGCAGTTGTCTGTGCATGAAAGAGCTGCACAAATGCTAAATCTCTCTACCCTGGGCAAAATCTCTGAGCTGGGAGAGGATTCCATTGCATCCAGTTCAAAGGATTTTGAAACAAAAGGCCATTTCTCCCTCTAGATGTCCTTCTTGATACCTATCAAATAATGGTATCTGTAACTAACTAGGAATTAGACAGTTTTCAAGCTACCTACACATTGCCCACACTGGTGTGGTCAGGGCAGAGGTTGACAGAAGCAGCAGCTGTTTAAATCTGCTGTTTGGATTAGCTTTATAAACCTGCTATTCTGGCTCAGGATAAATGCCTATAAAAATGAAGAGTTTCTGTTAAACTCCAAAGTTCCCCTAGCTGTACTTGGGAAGGATCACTGACAATGCAGCTCAGCATTCTGCATGGAACAATTAGCAGCAAGTGTTCTCAAGGAACTGAGAATAATAGATGAGCAATTTTTGGTGCAGAACGGACAGCACAGTAGCAATGCTCTCAGGTGTGCTGTTGCACCAAAGTCTACTGTCTCCCAAGGATAATATTTGTTGATCCAACAAGCCAAATTACTGGAGACAGAACAGAGGCTGAAATAAGAACCTCCTGGGTAAACTTCTGCTCTGGATGCAAAAGGAACTTTGTCTAAGAGCAATACTTACTGTATGTACTGAGGAGTCCTTCATATTGAACAAGCAATCCAACAGTATGAAGCTGTTGTAAAAATCCTTGGTCATGTAAACCTGTGTGCAGTTTGATTATAAACCCACAGACCAATCCAGCCAGCTAGAAAGGCAATTTGAAAATGTGAAATTAAGAGATGGACTGTTGCAAGATAATTAACATGAGGTTTTCTATCATTATAGACAACTGAGGTAGTAACTAGGTACTTGAGAAAACAGCCAAGATAGTTCTGTTTAGTGACTATAGACATGATTTTCATAACACTGTATTAGTGATGCATTTTTGGTGTACAAAGCAGTGAAATATTCCCTTAATTTATATAAGATAAGCTTCATTTGTTTTGTGGGCTTGTGTGTTACTGACACTGACAGGAGTGAGACCAGAGCCTCCGTTCCAGGCTGTAAACACATAAAGCTGTGAACTACGAAGGATCCAAAAGTGGTTTGGCACCTGATGCAACTGAACCTCCTTGGCAGCTGCACCCTAACTCCTGAATTAAATTAGGGATAACATATAACTTACGGGAGGAATTAGACAAAACTTTTAGGTTCTGGTGTCCTCAACACAAGAAGGACATGGAACTGTTGGAGCAAGTCCAGAGGAGGCCACCAAGTTGCTAAGAGCACTGGAGCATCTCCCCTGTGAGGACAGGCTGAGGGAGTTGGGGCTGTTGAGCCTGGAGAAGAGAAGGTTGTGTGGAGACCTCAACTCACATAGCCACCAGGAGGAAAAAAAAAAGCCCAGTTTGAATAGCAGCAAGGAACATTCAAGGCTAGACTTGAGAACTATATAATCTAGGAAGTCTAAAAATATCTTTATGAATCCTCCTTTGTGCAAAAGTTGATGAGGCAACTTTGCTCAGTCCACTGCAGACCTGTTTCCCTGACTCAGTGATGCAATTACTATGGATTTGCATTTACTATTAATTTCCCGGTCACATTATGGAATATTTAGGTGAATGCCATGGAAAAATATAGTAAAAGGTTGTGTCAAACTATAAAAAGGAGAAAAACCAACCGCAAGAAGAACATCACGACCATCAGCATGAGCAGTGTGTTTAGGTACAGGAGGAAAGAAGTGACACAAGACAACCTACTGCTTGACTGAAGACGATGTCTCTTCTTAGGGTCAGCATCAAACACTGTGGCAAACCACAGGCAAGTTCCTGGAGCAGAACAAATGCCATGGATTGCTTGGCCCTGGTCACCACCTCTCCCATGCAGTCCTTGAGTGCAACCACCAGTGGGTACAGCTGCTCGTACCAGTCACCTGCAACGAGACACATCATCAGTTCCCAAAGGCAAATCCTGCAGTGAGGAATCCTTTCCCACATGGAACGTGAGCTGCAGTGGCTGTACAGATCATCCTACACTCGGATGATCCTGCAGCTCTGTCCTAACCATTGTGGTACAACAGATGCCACTTGAGAACGTGCTCTGAGTAGGACTCCAGCTTCCCACTGAGGCTGAATCTCAACCTGAATCCAACTGCATCCTGAAACAATGACCTTTTTAACAGTCCTAACATCCCTGAGAAACTTATATTTAAGTGTCATAAACAGAGCATACAGGGAGACATGGGAAAACTCATTTAGCACAAAATGAAAACAGTGAAGAAGATCTCCTATTCCTCCCAGGATGGACAATGAGGCAGCATCAAAAAAAAACCAACTAAAAGAGGGGAGAAGAATCTGTATTTAAGAAAAAGTGGGTGCTGGAAGGCAGAGCAGAATAACAAATAGATATCTAGAAGGATATCACCTGCTTAATGTACGCCTGGAAAAACAACAGCCTCCAGGTCACTCCTTTTCCTCTATAGCTTTTCTCTGTATTGTTCTCTGTTACTATTTAGAGATATTGAATTCATTATTTTTTAGCTACTTTGAGCAGAGAGATTGGAACTACTTTGAAATATGTTTTGCTCAGTAAAACATATGCTAGGAATATCAAAAACAAACTAGTGAAATGCTTGAAAAATTGGACTTCTTAATGCATTGGAAATGAAACCAAGTGATAACTGGGAACAGGAAACTCAGAACAGCTCACACAAACTTGACTAATTATCCTAGCTGTTCCTAAATTTTCCAGGATTTAATAAAATCAGACCTGCATTTCAGTTCCATCTGGTTTTGCCTAGGCCCTGAGCTGAGCACAGAATAAAACCAAACAAAGCAATCCTCCTACTTCACAATCTACAGCTTCACCATTACAGGTTAAAATGACAGAGAAATCACCACTCCATGAGAACCTACAGAAAAATAGGGAATGTTACTGACAATACAGTCCACCACTGGCTCATGTTTTCTGTCGATTAGTGTAATTAAGAATCCATGATAATTCAAACCTGTTCCATTTAAATTGTGACTAGTTGCAGAACGTTGTGCCATGTAACACTAACTCAGACCAGGGACAGATTCATTAGCAGTGGAGAAGTTCTTTAGGCAGAAGACACATCTGCCTGTGACAATGTCACTCTGGCTAAGCTCCAGCAAAACTGCCATATGAATCAAACTGGAGCCAAGATGTCTGGGGAGAACTTTGGAAACCAGGAGAAACCAAAAAACTTAACGAGCAGGAGAGAGGAAAGATGCACAAGGACATCGCAGTCACAGAGAACACCTGAGCTCTTTTGCAAGTGATGTCTTTGTGGTCAGACAACACAGTCTAACACTGTCACACAGGTTTAAGCATGAGGAATAGAGTGAAGAGCCACTCCCTGGACAGCAGCTGTTCTAGGTGAACGGAACAGAGCTGTCCCCTTTCCATGTTCCAGCAAGGAGAGGTGATTTCTCACCTGCAGTGACTCCAGGAGTGCTGACACCGTGTGCCAAGCTCTGCTGGAAACCCTCAGAGCTTGCAGGGGACAGCCACCAAGATTTACAGCTTAATCTCCTTAAGCCGATGAAAAAGGCTGAGCAGCAACTCGATTTCCCCTCTTCAAGAGGGGAAATAACAAGCACTAACAGGGATGTTTATTCTGGGGAATAAAACAACCAAAGGGCAGAGGCTGCTGCAAAACACAGGCAAATTTAGAAACAAGGGAGACAACAAGGCATGACACACTGGAAATCAGGAGACAGACCAGGCAGTATAAGCTCTCCTTTCAAGCCCTGAATTGCACTCATTTATTAAATGAACCAGTAAATATATGCCATGGAAAGTGACTGTAGTGAAACACGACCAGAGGGTGCAATGTGTGCTGAACCAGCGAGCAGAGAAATTCTTCAATCTGTACCTGTACAACAGGACTCTGCGGGCAGCTTCGAGTTTTGTCATGCATGAGCACACAATTATTGCACGCATGAGGGCACAATCATTGCACGCATGAGGGCACAATTACTGCATGCATGAGGGCACAATTACTGCATGCATGAGGGCACAATTATTGCATGCATGAGGGCACAATTATTGCATGCATGAGGGCACAATCACTGCATGCATGAGCACACAATTACATCACACATGAGCCTAGCAGTCTTTCCAAAAGAAGTCTATGTGGGTACAAGCAGATGTTTGCTTTAATTGCAGACAGGAAACACAGCACCATTCCCCAGGGGCTCTTTGCTGCCTGTGCTGAAGGTTATCACTGCCCAGATCATCTGCCCATCAACAGAGCTGACAATTCCATCCCTCACTACGGGCACAATCCAGGTGTGATCACCCTGCCAACTCCAACTGGTTGAGAGCACGTGGTGGAACTTGTGTGCAGCAGATGAGGGAGCTCCCATGGAGCTGGTGGAGCAGAGCTGGTGGCAGCTCTGATGGGATGGCAAGGAACAGAGGAAACTGCAGCCTCTGTCAGCAGCACAGCCAAACACAGACCTGGCAGGGGCTGTGGAAGCATTTGAGCAAACTGCTGTGCTTCGCTGGCACCTCTGATGCTGCAGGACAGGCTTGCACATTCCCACTCTCGTGGGAGATGAAAAGGCAAAAATAAAAGCAATTTAACATTGTCAAGTATTTCTTCAAGGCAAACCAGTCTGGAGTTAAAAGAACAACAAAAAAAACCGCTCTCCTTTAAAATCCTTCTACTCTTCCTAATTTATCCTGCAGAGAAATCCTAATCCTGCAGCTGATGAAACCACAGCCTGTTACCTTGGCAACTGCAACTCAAATTCAGGCCTAAGAAAACACTCAAAGGTCAGACTGCCTGAAAAGTTAAGGCTGAGAAAGGTGTTATTGACATTGAAAGGTAAGTACAAGAAAACAGTGCCACTGATATTTCCAATTACAAAGATTCCAAACAGTAAATATAAACATGTTTGAAAAAAAAAAGGAAAAACATCACACGATGTCAACACAGACTGCAAATATAAACCTACCCCGAGAAGCTTTGAATGTGTGTTGTAACCATCTCTATAGTTGTAGCAATGTGCTATTGCATCAAATTATTGTCATAACACTTTCTCTCATCTGACAGGAACACACAGGATTCTTTGAAACCTTTCTCACTGCTATATGCTATGAAACACCTGGATGAACCCAGTCAGGTGCACTAAATCAGCAAAAACTCCATCCCACACTGTAAGGCAGATGTTTCAGTGCTTTGATCAAAATCCTGTGTATTCCCCAGTTTTCTCACAAACAACAGCACAAGTTTTCTCAGGATCAGTCCCAGCACTGAAGCAGTTTCAGACTCAAAGATCTACCTGTGCCCAGATGTTTGCACTGTTAATGAAATACATTAGCCTGAAATGTGCTCAAATGATGGTATGAGTACAGGTTCTGCCCCTGCACTCGGTGCTGGTGAGGCCACACCTTGAATCCCGTGCTCAGCTCTGGGCACCTCAGCCCAGGAGGGACATTGAGGGGCTGGAGCAGGTCCAGAGAAGAGCAACGAGGCTGGGGAAGGGACTGGAGCACAAGTGCCATGAGGAGAGGCTGAGGGAGCTGGGGGTGTTCAGCCTGGAGAAGAGGAGGCTCAGGGGAGACCTTCTCGCCCTCTGCAACTCCCTGACAGGAGGTTGGAGTCAGGTGGGGGTTGGTCTCTTCTCCCAGGCAACCAGCAGCAGGACAAGAGGGCACAGACTCAAGCTCTGCCAGGGGAGGGGTAGGTTGGAGATTAGGAAGAGATTTTTTTACAGAGAGAGTGCTCAGGCATTGGAATGTGCTGCCCAAGGAGGTGGTGGATTCACCATCCCTGGAGGTTTTCAAGCTGAGACTGGATGTGGCACTTAGTGCCATGGTCCTACAGCCAAAATCTGTTGCACCAAAACTCAGCAGTACTGCACTAGTGATACACAGCTGAAAATTCATTTCATTTCTTGTTAGATAAAAAAAAAATTACAAATGAGTCATAACAGCTTTGAAACCTTTGATATAAAATGATGCCATTAAATTCTAGGGGGAATATGTAAAGCAAAACATAGAATAAAACACACAATTAAAAAAAAAAGGCACCAATTATACAAATCTCCATAAACTAAAGTAGCTGTGTTGGTTTTGTTGTTTCATGGGGGTTTATTTGTTTGTGGGTTTTTTTACTGAATAGTGGCATAAGTGGTTCTGATTTTCTTAGGTTTGGACTACCACCATAACCACTAAGGAGCTGTTTCATTTGTTGTACACCAGAAAGTCTCATCACGCTTACTAAGCACATCCAATCTAGGCTTTGGGAAAAAAACCAGGAATAAGCTGTAGGAGAAGATCAGAAGATTTTGTGACAAGGACCCACTGTGGACAAAGTTTTCTCCTCCTTATCTCATGGCAATGCTCTACTTAATCTTCAGTATTGACACAGACTGACAAGTATATTCAGGTCAAAATGGACTTTAGCAAATGAGAAAACCTCTATCAGAGTATCACCTCAGAGCAGGGGAAGGGTTTACAGGAGGAAGACATGGGGACACAATGCTCACCTTCCCTTACAAGTTTCCTGTGGGGTAAGACACGTTCCAATTCCTTTTCTCAAAATAGTCCATCCAAGTAAGATCTAAGCACACTACATTACCTCAGCCAAGGAATACGTTGCAGTTTCCAGAGGCTTCACTGTAGCACAAAGACTGAGCATGGCAAATGGAGCACAGGAGGAAGCTGCACTTGGATCATTAGCCTTTCTACAGCTGTGCAAACCCTTGCTGTCAGCAATCTCACCAAAGATGCTATTGACTCTTTGCTAGATTGTTTTCCCTTAACTTTTGCCATTTTTCTTTACTTTAGCCAATGATTAAAAAGAAAAAGAAAGGGTTGCTTACCACCTGTAGGCAGCACCTTGCAATCTGCTGCTGAAGGGTCACTGTCACCCTCTTCAGTGTGGCTGGAGGTGTCTTTTTCCAGCAGTCTGTCCACCATGGCAATGACACAGTTCAAACTCTTGCCCACGCTGGCCCACACCCTGTCCTGGAAAGAGCAGAATTGTCACTGCATGTTACTGAAGAACAGCAATGAAAAAAGAGACAACAGTAATTCATTAACACCTTCAAGTGGAGACAGAGATGTGTGAATAGCTAGAAATATTAGGTCTCAGCATATTATCCTTCCTCTCCTCCTTCATCCTAACACCAACTTGAGCCTTTTCCATGGAGTTTTTCCTTGCAGTGTAAAGGAACTGAAACCGCTAGACTTTTAGACATGAGAACAGATGTGTTTCCAACTCTACATGAGAATCCAGGCCAAGTTTCACCTCTAATCACGAGGAGCTGAGCAGTTTGTATGAAATCAAACAGCAGGAGTGCAGACACCCAAACCCTGACAAATCTTGTGTGCAGCTGTCAGTTTTGCCACAGTACTCACCAACCTCTGTTTGCTAATTTAACATACCCTATATGCTGTCACACTGGGCACTCTGTGATCTCTGTTACTCTGTCAAAGCAAATGGAAAACTCAAGGACTAGAATGAGGAACTTGCTGCCATGGCATATTTACTAGGTAACACCATTTCAGCTTCGTTCCTCAGCTCTCAGACTGCATCCAGCACACTCAGCAGAGCTATAATAGACAGGGGAATGAAGGAAGTAATAGTGTGATAGAAGAAATTCTGTCTGGGCAGAAAACAAAAGAGATAATGTGGATTGAAAGAAAGAGCTCTCGTGAAACAGAGACACAGGAAGGTACTGCATGCTGCAGAAATCAGAGCTCTTGCACCTACTTTTGTGGTGCTGAACAAGGAGGAGGAAACCCAAGCCACAGGAGAAATGAGACTGTACCCAAGGGTAGCCAATAGACTAAAGCCAAACCAGAACAAACTCAAAAAAAACCCTGACAGTCCATGTTGAGCTGTGCAACGACTCAAATGCTGAGTCATTCTGGCAGTAATGCAGAGCAACCAGAGTTTGCTTGAGGGATAAAAGTTGGAAGAAAATATCACTGCTTTGCTGTCTACTTGACAATATAACAGTCAGAAACATTATGTATGTGTCAGGCCTTGAGGTGCAAAAAGGGAGTTGCAAAAGACAAGAGAGAAGGTTAGAGAAAACTGAAAACTCAGAGAAATAGCTCCATATAAATGGCAACACTTGGAATTTGTGTGAAGGTGTCCTGGTTTAACCCCGGGCAGCAGCCAAGAACCATGGAGCTGTTCACATTCTACAACTCCAGGCAAGTCTAGAACTACTACTAAGGCAAACAATCTAATCTTACTTTGTAATTACATGGCACACTTAGGCATTTATCCTGACTGGAGGGATCTGATCTCACAGATCCTCTCCTCCAGCTCCCCAAACCTGATTCCTGGAGTGTTCTTGTAGGGTTGCCCTAAGGACAAGGGAGCATCTGGTGTTACAGGTGGATGTAGGAACTATGGTTTGATCTTCCCAGTTAAACCCATGCCCTAACCATACTATGAAAAAGATACTGTTGATTTACTTAGGCAAGAAACTGGTCCTGCAGAACTGTGGTTAATCCACAACAGATTTTTTGTAAGTGCTGTCTGTACAACGTAACATGTGGAAATATCTGCACCTGGACACAGGAAACAAACCATTAGACACATGAATAGCTGATATTCACATGCTCAGGTACAATTCAAAGTCAAAGGACAGGGAGAGATTCCTTCAAAGGTTTTAGCCAGTGCGTACCTTGAGTGTTCCTGAGAAACATTTAGAATATGGGTGAAATTAGTGATTTCTACCACCCACAAGGACTGTTCTGGGGAGAAGGAGTCTGTGAAGAGCAATCAGACACTGCAAACAGTAAAAATTCTGACCCCAAACACTGGCAAATTTTCCTGGAGGAGCAGGGAACTTCAGGGCTTCCAGTCACTAAAGTTGCTGAGGTACATGAACTCCAGCTGCTCAGTGTGGCTGCAGCAATGTAATTTCCCTTTCCTCTGTCTGCTGGGGGAGTTTAATCCCAACACAAAGAGCGTTAAGTTCTTAATGAGCATCTGGAGTTACTGCGCCAGCAACACAAATATAAGCCCTTGTTTAACTCTGGAAAGAACACTTCCCTCTCTTCAAACCAACTATTAACCCAGCATTGAGATGATGTCTATACAACATTCACACAAACATTCCCTGAGGGTTTTGGAGCAAAATTCATAAACATCTGTTGAGAGAAAGCTCAGTCTTATTCCCACATATATGGCTTTTTTACATACAGGCAAGTGAGGGGGAGCAAGGGCCTGTCCCACAGCTCTTTTTCTCCACACAGGAGGTTCCTGGGATTAGAATTATAAACTCATAGTATCAACCAGGTTGGAAAAGACCTCCAAGGTCATCAAGTCCAACCCTACCGTGGTCATTAGACCATGGCACTAAGTGCCACATCCAGTCTCAGCTTGAAAACCTCCAGGGATGGTGAATCCACCACCTCCTTGGGCAGCACATTCCAATGCCTGAGCACTCTCTCTGTAAAAAAATCTCTTCCTAATCTCCAACCTAACCCTCCCCTGGCAGAGCTTGAGTCTGTGCCCTCTTGTCCTGCTGCTGGTTGCCTGGGAGAAGAGACCAACCCCCACCTGACTCCAACCTCCTGTCAGGGAGTTGCAGAGGGTGAGAAGGTCTCCCCTGAGCCTCCTCTTCTCCAGGCTGAACACCCCCAGCTCCCTCAGCCTCTCCTCATGGCACTTGTGCTCCAGTCCCTTCACCAGCCTCGTTGCTCTTCTCTGGACCTGCTCCAGCCCCTCAATGTCCTCCTGAGCTGAGGGCCCCAGAGCTGAGCACAGGACTCAAGGTGTGGCCTCACCAGGGCCGAGTGCAGGAGCAGAATCACCTCCTGGTCCTGCTGACCACACTGTTCCTGATCCAGGCCAGGATGCCATTGGCCTTCTTGGTCCCCTGAGCACACTGCTGGCTCCTGTTCAGCTCCTATCTCTCCAAACTCCCAGGTCCCTTTCTGCCTGGCTGCAATTATTATAGGCAGACAGAAAATGCAGATGTCTGTATCAGCCATTGAGATGTTCTCTCTGCACCAAAGGTGGCCACATTTTTGTAAGAGGGATGCTGAAATGCTGCAGTTTGCTAAGAACAATTCTCAAGTAAAAATGCAATTTCCAATCAAGGTAAATCAAGTGGCTTTCTATGGTTCTCCATGAGAAGAAATCCATCCATTTCACATTCTTTGTCATCCCTTACTATTTCCATATTTTCCTGTAGCCTGGCACACTTTCTACCCACCTTTCATCTTCTTAAGGGATCTATTTTCAATTTGCATAAGAACTGCATCACAAAAGATCATTTTGCAGCCTGTGCCAGGTTAAAGGACAAAACAGAGCCAGTACAGCCTCTTAAGTAAGCATCCTTATAAACCCTCTGTGTGAAGTGAAGGATCAGAAGAAAATACGTCTTATTTCTTGAGACATTGAAGTACTAAGCCCTAGTTTCCTAAGCAGGGTGTTTCTCCCCTGATACCAGTTTGCCCACTAGCTGCTGGGGAGCTAACTGGATGGGAAGTTTACTGCTGTGGTGTGAAAGAACAAGAGAAACAAGGTCACTGGCTCCCTCTCATTGCTGCTCTTTAAGCTCAAAAGTCAAGGCAATGCCAAGGAAGGTGGAAATCTGTAACAGGTTGGACCCCACTGAGACAAGGCAATGGCATATTGACACCCTGTGCTTCTTCCAAGCTTCAGAAGGCATTTGGGTTGTTAGGGAGCCCTGGGACACGTGGCTAGGTGTTGATGCTAGGCATGGCAATGGCTGCACCTCATCACCACCTGTGCTGTGGTGCACACTCCTGCAGAGGTCCATGGACAGCTAGGCCTTGGCAGCACAAAGCTGGGCACTTTGCCCAGGAAATTAAAAAAATTAACCTCTAAAATAATTCTTCTTCACTCACCCAATAAAAGAAAATGTAATTAATTTCCATCTGCTCTGAAATTAGCATTACAAAGCAATACTTCATTAAAAAGCTTCCTGATTTCAGAGGGCAGGAGTGGAAACTGCTTTCTGCCACAGCACTTAACTGGAAGTCTTCCTCCTAAGCCCTGCCAGCCAGTGAGTCCCAGGCTGTCTCTGTTTCTAAAGGACTCCCAGGCTTTCTAAATTCACTACAGAGCTCCTCAGTCACTTCTTGTCCTTCCACACACAGCACTGCAGTTACTTGTGCCAAGGATGACACAGCGACTGCACTTCCCAGTGCTCTGAAGACATTGTGCTCCCTCCTGTGGGCTGAGAGTCATATATTACCTTCAGCTCCTTTCTGAGCTATGGTACCAGCTAAAGCAAATACCTTAACTACTGTGCATGATTAACACCCTCTCGTGAAGTGGCAAGTGTTTTGGAATGGAATATACCACACACATATCAGTATTTCAGACCAGAGTCTGATCACCATGTCAGGATTTGGACACAGCTTACTGCAAATGCCATTTTATCTCTTCTTTGTAGACCCAACCAGGTTAACGAGTCAGTCAGAAATGCAGAGCAGAATCAGCTCTGACTAGCAATGTGCCCACCTTTTCTTCCATTATACATGACAACCTGCCTTGTGCCCTCCTGGAGGGAGGTTCTGGGACAGCAGAAGCAGCTGGCAAGAGAACAGAATATCTACGCAGAGGCAATCCAAAACTCTCAGGTTAAATATTTTTCCTTCAACAGTAATGCTTTACTGCTGCCCACATGTAGTGCAGCAACACAGACAGCTCAAGCCATTCTGCTGCCAGTCAGCCTGGGGGGAGTGCCAGAGATGAGAGAGTCAGCACAGTGCTGCTGTGGAGAAGAAGATGCTTGGAAAACACTGGTCACTCAGGGAAAGGACACTCTGTCAGTGCAGGCACTGGGAGTGAGTCCTTGCAGATAAATTTGGGTGCCAGGGAAGGGATTGGATCTTGCCTAGCTGTTAAACACTGCCCTGAGTTCACTACTGTGCTGGTCATAAGGTAACACAGCCATTGGAAGTGGAGTGAACAGGCTCAGCTTAAACAGCTGTTTAAAGATTTAGATTTCAAGCAAAACCAACATTGAGATTTGAATTGCAAAATCTATCCCTAGTGCTTGGTAATAGTGAGAAAACACCCACATCAGCAAAGGAGGATAGAGCACTGCGCACACAGAGCAATGGGTCTCCAGTTTTTCCTTTATAGTTGACTTTCACAGCAGATAGTGTTTTTCAGATTTTATAGGAATTCATTCTTTTTCTTTTCATCATAGAATCACAGAATCTTAGGCGTTGGAATGGAGCTTAGAGATGACCCAGTCCCAACCCCTGCCCTGGGCAGGGACACCTCCCACCAGAGCAGGCTGCTCAAGGCTCAGCCAACCTGGCTGTGAACACTGCCAGGGTTGGGGCAGCCACAGCCTCCCTGGGCAACCTGGGACAGTGTCTCACCACCCTCACAGGGAAAACTTCTGCCTAAGATCTAACCTCAATTTCCCTCTTTGAATTTGTGCCCATTGCCCCTTGTCCTGTCCCTGCAGCTCCTCATGCAGATCCCTCTGCAGCTTCCCTGGAGCCCCTTCAGCTCCTGGAAGGTGCTCTGAGGTCTCTACACAACCTTCTCTTCTCCAGGCTCAACAGCCCCAACTCCCTCAGCCTGTCCTCACAGGGGAGATGCTGCACTTAGTAACTTGGTGGTCTCCTCTGGACTTGCTCCAACAGTTCCATGTCCTTCTCACACCGAGGACCCCAGAACTGTGTGCAGTACTCCAGGTGGGTCTCAACAGATCAGAGCAGAGGGGGAGAATCATGCTAATAACAATTTGATCGTTAAAACTTACATTATTCTTCACCTCCATTGACAGAAAGAACTGAAAAAGTATGGACAGTCTGATCCTTCAAATTCAGGAAAAAAAGCCAAATTTCTCTAGGACTGATACTGCTTCAAATTTGTCAGTGACTCTGACTCAGTTTAACTCTGAAAATACGAAAGACACACTTAATATTTAGTCCTGTAATGTTACTAATTCAGCAGAAAAAACAGCTACACTTTCAAATTATGCACTTGGACATTTGAATGGATGAGGACAAGCACCTGGCAGAAATTATTGCTGTTTAAAAAAAATCAGTGATGAAATACAGTGCAGAAATTATCTCTTCAGAGAAGATAAACTGAAGAACTAAATTAAAACACAACTTGCACAAAAATGCCATTTCTCCCCTTTATCAAACCTATTGTGACATTTATATCCCTGAATGTTTCAGCAGCTGGAAACAAACATTTTGGCTTTAATTCCAAGGAAAGAACCATCATTGTAGCCTCTCAGGTTGTTGAGAAAACAAGAAAAAGTGAATTGAAGGCTCTAAAACCAGAGGACAAATAAAGGAACGAGTTATTTATTGTTTAAATCTCATGACTACTTAATGAATGGGGCTGGAAATAATTGCCTTTTCTCTAGAAGAAATATATTCTTCTTCCCTTACTTGTGGTGTGGATAAAAATTAGAGTTGAGGTGTAAGCACTGGAGCTATTAATTACTTACAATAGAGATGAATATGCCGCATCCTTTACGTTTAGGAGAACACAGTGATGAACTCAAAGTATGAGCATGAACTGCATAAAAATAGCTTGAGTATGTGTGTACAAAGCAGCCTGAACACATCCACTGAACTCATCAACCTACAAAATTCAGCCATGAAAATAATGCACAGCTTTGAACGATGTGCTAAGAATGGTAAAGTCTAACAGTTACACTTCATTCTTTTGTGCAATCTGAGACATCCTCTAAGAGCAGAGTCTAAGGGAAAAGAGCTGCTTTGCTGAGGGTTAATTCATGTGTATTTAAACTCTTTGCAGCCTAGAGCAGGGTGGGAGTGGAGGGAGGAAAAGAAGATTTCCCTCCTAACAGCATATGCTGTTCCAGTCTCCTTCAATCTGTCCCATCAGTACAAAGAGCTCAAGTTAGAGCAAAGACAGACTGTGGTTCTGGCTGGAGGTAGTAGCTGCCCCAAGCCTGGCAGTGTTCACAGCCAGGTTGGCTGAGCCTTGAGCAACCTGCTCTGGTGGGAGGTGTCCCTGCCCAGGGCAGGGATTGGGGCTGGATCATCTCTAAGCTCCATTCCAACCCCTAAAATTCTGTGATTCTATGATATTGGTTATCCTCTCTGTTACATGCACAACCAGCAGTCCCACAGCAGCACAATGTACTTAGAAAAATCCTTTCAATTGAGCTTCAAAATCTGCAAAGGATCTGAAAAATATGATTTCATGGCTTTGCACTTCCTTCCCCCCGCAATAACACGTGACAAGGACACTCACAGGGCTTGTGTTTGTTCATGCTGATTTGGAGGGTTTAGGATTGAACACCAACCAAGAATGTCTGACTACTTACCCACTCCTCCTCGTCATACTCAGAATGATGGGGGATAGAGTCCTGTCTCTTAATCTGGGCAGGATGGTCCTGGTGCTGCACATCACCCCCTTCCTCAGCGCTGCTCCTAGGCACAGCTGGTTTCTTGAGGACACAGCCAGGCCGGGCTGTGTACAGTGCTAGAAGGGCACTTCTGACCAGCTGGTCCTTGAATGCATGCACAAACAACTCTGTCTGGAAGAAAATAAATGAATGAAAAGGTTAGACCAAAGAAATACTTCAACAAGGGTGGTACAACATTGCATTGCCCTTAGAGTGGGGATTTCAGGCCAGGCTGAGAAGCAGCAAACCAAGTAGGCCAACAGTGAGGAACATTTCAAGGGTTTTAGGGCCATCATCACATTCTACAATCCTAGTGTCATAAGGATTAACACCAGAGTACAGTATCTGGCATAGACATCATCACCTTTTCACATTTTATTCCAAATTTCCCCTGCAGAGACAAGCCTCTACCGGAACCAGTTCAAAGACTAACCAGGTACTGCTCCGTAATTTCTGAATAAGTGTCAGATAAAACACGACTAACAAATTTAAGGACCTTAAACAAAATCCAGCACTCTGCACTGCCAAGGTTGCAGTGCCTGCAAAAGCAAAGTCTCCAGAGACAAACTTCTGTACCTGCAGGTATAACACAGATGTCAGGGCAGATGAAGGCACATGATGTCTAGCTTCATTTTATTTATATTTTAAAGAAATGAAACCATAAAGGAGTATTTTCATCTCCTTTCAAGGTGTTATTCATTCACTGCACCATTGTTCTGAATCCTTGTTGACTGTCACAGCTGGAGTATTACCTTCCTTTAAAACCTTTCAACCTCTGCATTATTTATCTCCCTTCCACCCCAGCCAGAACAGGACAATGCTTTCTTTCACCATGTCTAGGCTGTGTCCCTGTGACAGCTCTTGTCGCCGCTGCCCTAGAGTGCCAAGCACACCCTTCTCTGCAGCACAGTCACACACGTGGCCCTTTCCTCACCACTCCCCCCACCCAGGAGGGGTGGCCTGTCCACTCCACCAACTGGCAGAACCCCTGGAGACAAGAGGATGAGGTGCAAGGACATGTCTCCTGTCACTGCAGGGTGGTAACCCCTAGCAAAGCTGCAGTGACAGGGGGAGGGAGTCCCAGTTTGGGTTATCTCAACCACGTTCCACAGGGTTCTTCTATCAGGGCAGGGAGAACAGGCTTCTTCTGCTGCACCACGTCCAACACATCCCACCCAGGCTGCCAGAGCTCCTCAGCCAGGACTCTCGTTCCCAGGGGCTGAAACACTGCTCCATGTCTCTTTCACAGCACAATTACCTGCATTTTTTTGTCCCAGGTCAGTGGGATTTAGTTGCCTTCCAATTTTCCCAGAACACAATGGATTTTCCTGTGCAGGCAGATTCAGAGGCTGAAGTGCCTTTGTGCACACAACCTTAATTAAACAGGGATGGGGGAAAGTGTGTAGAGAAGCTTCAGAGCAACCAGCCTGAACCAGCAGACACACCAAGCTAGGAAGTGCTCGAAATAAAGGTTGCCCAGCCAAGCTTCATCAGCCCTTCCACACTGCTCACATGAAATCTGGAGAAGAAGCAGCAAAAATCCTCCAACCAAACAAGTTTCCAGTGTCAGCATCTTTCTTCCTGGAAGTCTTTCTCCCAGTTTCTGCACTTCTTACTTCTATTCTTATCCCATCCCTTTTTGCTGCTACTCGCTCCTCTTTTGTGTGCTTCTATTCCTACTCAGCTTACTGTTCTTGCTTTCCTGCCTCAGTATCTCCTCGAAAGGTCACTGATATTTACACAACAATGCCCTTAACGGTTTTTGCTCTGATGGTTTCCTTGAATCTCCAGCTGCTGAGTAGGGAACTTGCTTGAGAAGTTTCTGAGTTTTCCCATTTTCATTACATTTAGGAAAAAAACCCAGAACAGTTGCATGTGGAAAGGCTGAAAACTTTTGCTGCAAATAAATCTCAGAAGCCTTAAAAATAAGAAGCTCAGGCATTATTTTTTTTAAACCAAAATCAGCACTTCCTCCAGGACTGATCTGGGATACTTTATTGCTTAGACTTGGCAACACTACTCATCTCTTGGCAATTTTACCAGACCCATTCCTTCTTCTTACCAACTTGGGGCCCGAGGAAGAAGAGATGTTATAAACAGATTTGTTATAGGAAGCCCCTCAGAGCTCTCTCCTGGACGTCCTGAATTGCACTATAGGCCAATTTCAGTTTTCTACGTTTCCAGCCTCCACATGGTGTGTGCTCAGAGAATAAATCAGTCTGTGGGGAAAATTGCTCTCAGGCTCTACCATTCTTCTACACAGAAGAGACAAAATGAGGTTTGAGGAGCTGCATGGTAACAGCAAATCTTCTCTTCAAGACTCTTCTACAGTTCCTTATCAAAGGAGTTGAAACTACTTCACTTGTCTGTGTTTGGCAATGGCCACACTATGGTTCTGCTGAGGTCTCATACCTTCCCTTCCCCTCAGGGTCTGCTCAAGAGGGTTTGAGGTCTCTGTGTGAGGCGTGGCAGACCCCAAAAAGCTTTAGATTGCAGGAAATTGTGAGTATTGGCCAACTTGATGGAAGGAATGTCCACCATGACTGCAATGTAGAGCAGGTAATTAGCTGAGAAGTTTCAGCAATGTGAGTTTATATAAATATTTCATAGGGGAAATTCATTTGAAACAGCAAATTGATAGAGAAGCAAATCTCTATTTTCCCATACAGAGACTAAAAATGCTTCTGTAATTAAATCCCATTTAGGGATACCATTGGTTTAACAGCAATCTATATTTTAACTGCGTTTTCCAACAGTTCAGTACAGCCAAATTTGCAGAACATCACTATTTCTAAAATTGCATTGAAATCACAAAACAAGTCTGTACAAAGAAATGAAAACTTTGCAAATTCTGTCAGATACTCAGCTAAAGAGTATTCCTGCAAACAAAGATAGGCAGAGCTGGAAAATGAATTTATCAAGCCTTCAGCAAGCTGCAAGTGCTGATACACTTGTCGACAGCTAAAGGCTTTGTTAATCAATTAACAGGAAGTGGTGATAAAAGGTTAGTCTCAGGAAAGCACCGAGTGAATTGCAAACTACAGATGGAGCAGTAAAACCATGCTCAACATGAGAAAATAAGCTCAATTTAAGCAGCAGCAGTGGAATGATTAGATTTTCCACTTTCAGGCCACGCAGCCAATCCTTCCACCTCTGCACCAATTCTAACACAGACCTCACCTCAGTGATAGCCCAGATACACTCCCTGCTCCCCAACACCTCTGCAAAGCATGTCCTACACACCAGGCTTAATTCGGCCTCGACAGAAAGTGATATGCTTTTTAAGAAACTTGTGGAATTTAATCACCAGGCAAGTGATTTTTATGACTTCTTCGAGCAGCTGTTTGATTTTCAAATGTCTATCAAGTTAAAATGCAGCAGTGTTCGTTTTTCACATATAAAAAGTATTGAAGAGCACTTCACATGCCTCAAGAATACAAGTAGGCATCATATAACTCATCAAGCTGAGCACATGCCACTCTGCCTCACATAGAGCCAGGGACACCCTGTTAGTCTTGTTCTCCTATGTTGTACCTGATTTTATAGACAGATTACTTTAGGACATCAAGATGATGCTTCGTATCAACTCTGAGGGATCTAACTGCAGCATCGTGTGAGCTCACTCAGTTTGTGGGTTTGAAATGGTACTGCTTCTCCCCAAAAGTGGTTTCTTTCCTTTCCTCCCCATCTTTGCAATCAGCTGTCCCTCCACACTCTTCCTCAGCAGTGATCCCACGCTCTCTCCATCCTCCACCCTCTTGGAGTGAGTTTGGGGACAGACAGAGAAGCAGGTACTGAACCATCATTGCTGCAGTTGTGAAATATCTGTGACTTTTGCAGACTGAATGGATTCTTTTGGGCCCTTTCTCTAGTCACTCTCCCACAGGTCAAACCGTGGTTGGTATCACAGTGACCTTACAGTCACTCTAAGATCACCTGCTCCTCCTGCCCAGGGAGGCAAACGTGGCAAAGGCAAAGCAAATGGCTATAGCTAACACACAAATTCCTTGCCAACCAGGCTTGGGATCTTCAGAACAAACACTTTGTTTGGTTTGCTTTACCTGTGCATACATATTTCTTTGAACTAACCACTAACAGAGCAGCTCCACTTGGTCCATGCACAGCTCAAAACAGCCTCCTACATGGAAAAAGATGCTATATAAATGCCACCATCACTATCCCCCCAAATTCTTCTGTTTCATTTCCAGGCTGAATTCTGCTTTCCTGATCATCCCTGACACTCACAGTGATGTCAATATTCTCAGAGTTACCCTGGATTTACACATCTGTCACCAAGAGCAACTTCCTCTGCCCCATAGCTCCAAGGCAATGGCTTCACAGCTTGTGCCTGAGCTCAGTGCCCAGACCTGAAACTCTCCCACTGAATGAGGCACTGCTGGGGCAATAGTGCTCCACAGACCTCAAGGGTTGCCACTCCCCAATAGCTGAAGATACCCTGAAATGGCTATTACTAGTGTTACTAAGCCACACGGAGATCACATTCCAGAAGGCCCATGAAGCAATAGAAAACTCTCAGCTATTGTACTTAATATTTTTATAGGATAACATATGCTAAAAAGCATTGCAGGCTTCAGCTAATCTCCACTCTGAGACAGGCAGAAAACATTCCCTTCCTCAGTTTAGCACTAAAGAAACTAAGCTGGGGAGCATCCTACAGCTACAAAGGAATATAACAGGAGAAAGAGAAGTAAAACGTGAGACCTCCTTGGTGCCAGCTCCTTAGCTTCTCCTTCCAGGCAGCATCACCAATTCTGATCATGCCTTACACACAAACCTGGCTTGAACCATCCCCCACAAGCAGCATCTTGAAGTATCACAGAAAGAGAGAGAAAAATAGCACTTTATCATACCACCAAATCATTTATAATAAATATTTTTGATAAACGCCAGGATGTGGCCACTAGAGGGTAAAAAAAAAAAAAAGACACATTAAATTAAATTAATTACACTTAAATAAAGACAGCCTTTATAGATCTCATTAATTTTCTATATGGAAAGCCTGCAGAAATGTTCAAGAACATCCTTTTCCTAACAGCAACATTCTGAAGCTTATTTTAGTAGAGTTTATTTAACATTTCCTGATGCTGTAAAAGTCAATTTATGCAGAAAAATAACCCCAGCAGTTAGAGACTTGGTTATTCCGTTTTCCATTGCAGAGAAGATTTGAATCTTACTTTTTCTGAAAGCATCTTTAAAGAATTCTTGAGGCTGTCTGGAGAGTGCTGGCTCGCAGAGCTGAGCAGCAGGTCTGCATGGCTTGAGATCAGAGGCTGGAGATGGTTGATCTTGCTGAGAACTTCTTTTGCCTTGGCTGTGTTTTCTGGTGAGTAGTAAATGCACTGGTATCCAGTACTGCAACAACAGGGAGAGTCACACAATGTCCATGTGATTTCTGCTGATAATGACAATGCTAAATGTGCTAAAAATCTCACCACTACTTTTTAAATAGATGTCAGATCCCTGAACTTCCCCGAGAGCAGTGAAATGCCCTCTAAGGGTAAAACCAAACCCTTAGTTGAGCTGCAGCTCACAGTACACTGCCCACCACCAAACACTCCAGGCAGCACTGCTCAGCCTGAAACTTCCCGTGAGGGACTGATCCAAACCAAAGAAAACCATATTTTTATGTGTTTCTTTTAAAAATGGTGATTCTGGAGAACGAAAAGGTTTCACCAATTCAGGTGATAATCACAAAGGCTCCTTGTTTTCCCAACTGAACACCCCAATACATTGAGAACTACCTCATTAATCCCCAAGACATCATTAACTACCTCCCTAAGTCTTTCAGAATGAGCTGTTAACATTTAACTGCTCAGTGGCCCACACTGTGTTCCCATTAGCTGCAGAGATTTCCAGGCAGTGGTGACAACCAGACACATCTCAAATAAAAACCAGGGGTCTAATTGGCCAGAAAAGACACAGAAATGAGCTGTGGGAGTGAATCACTACAAAAACACACTGCAAACTTCCCACTTCCCTTCCAACTGTTCACAAACTTATGCAATTCTTCTTTCCTGTCCTTCATTTTCCCCCAACACTTAACCAGTAACACAATATCCTTTCATACCATTACTCCATTTCACACAATACACACACACCTCCTGGTTCTGCACTGCAATGTACAGCTCCTCACCCAAACCTCCCGCACATAACTCAGAGTAAAGCTCTGGTATCCTCTCCTTGAGAATCACCACAGTGAAGGTGTCTCTGAGGGATGCACAAGAATCTAACAGCAGGGCAAATGTGAAGTGATTTGTGGGCACTTTGAAGCAGGTATGAAACACCTTGATAAAACCTGCACAGAGCTCCCCAGCACAATCCTTTATCAACTCAGAGGTGTACACGGTTGAGCCAGTGAAACAGGAGGGATTGAGGCTGTGCTGCACCAACCCTTTGCCATCTCACCCTTCTGACACCCAGCACTGCACAGGGGCCAAAGAAAGGATTCCCACCCAGTGTGTTGTCTCCTGTTACAGGCAGCTAAGGAACAAGGGCATCGTCTGCTCATAGGATGAGATAGTGCAGTGTGTGTTCTGCCAGGCAGAAGCCAAGAAAGACTGGCTCTCCTCACTGTTTTCTCTGCAATGAACAGGAATCACAGAGAATAATTTGCCTCACAGCTATTCTCCCCTTTGGGAAGTCACACTGCCAAAGCAGATATGCTGCAGGACTGAGCGAGTGAGGAACAGTTCATTTTCTGAAAGCAAACCCTGTGAGGACTGGAACTGCAAAGTTCTTCATATCACTTATGACTTCAGTTTCTTCTTATGTAATATAATAAAACATGATAAAAACCCATTAAACACTATTGCAACTACATTAATCAGATTGTTCAGGAACAGATACGCTAAGAAATGTTCTTAGACATTTTCTTCATCAGAAAACACGTACTTCATAGGCTCCATATCGTGGGGACCAGGCTGCCTGCACCAGTCTGCTGAGAGCACAATATTAACACGAGGTTCACTGATGTGTCGTATGTGATCAATGATATTCATGTTACACTGGCAGGTTTTGACATCAGAGGTGCTCAGGGAAAGGAAAGGATTCAGCTGATTTAACAGGGGGTTTATGTTACGCAGGGCAAACCAAAAATTAACAGTACAGCTTTCAAAGCCAAGATACCTCCTTCCCAGGGCTGTGTTTGGGGTTGGTATTGATGCCAACTGTCATTCCACCTACAAGTCAACAGGAGACTTTTATCATTTTCCTTTCATTTTTCATGATATTGTACCCATGAACCGTTTTTGAGCATTGACTGTAAAGGAATTCCTGTTCTCTGGAGCATCCTGATGACTCAGATCAGAGCCTTCCTGCACTCCCCAGTGCTGTGGCACTGATTGCATGAGGTTGGCACTGTTGGCTGAACTGTTGAGCAGTCACAGCTCTGGGTGCTGCCAGTGACAGCTGTGGCTGCTTGCAAATCTTAACAGCCACAGCAACAAACACAAACACATCCAATTCGTGGCTAGCAAAATATGCAGCTAACACCTTTGTACATGTCCAGCAGTTAACGAAGCATTTGTGCATGGCAATAAACTGAAACCTTTGGTTTTGCTTGGCCTTAGTTTGGCTTTCTGAGGAACAAGAGCAGTTTCTTACTTATTGCACAGGTGTACTGAAAACAGGTTTTGCTCACATGCACCCAGGGCTGTCAGAAGTAAAGGTGCTACCTTGAGCTAGTTTCTGTACGGAAAAGTTGTCTACAGCTACATTCCTCTTAGCACAGGAGTTACCAAAGAGACACCTCACTCTGAACATTGTGTGTTCAGGCACTGATATACCTCAAGCTTCCTGAAATATGAGGGAAAAAAGGTCACAATTTTGAATCACGGAATCATTTAGTTTAGAAAAGACCTCCAAGACCATTGAGTCTAACCTTTGACCAAACACCACCACAGCCACTAAACCATCACACTAAGTGCCACATTCAGTCATTTCTTAAACACCTGCAGGGATAGTGACTCCACCACCTCTCTGGGAAGCACATTCCAATGCCTGACAAGCCTTTCCATGAAGAAATTATTCCTGATGTCCACCCTGACCCTCCCCTGGCACAGCCTGAGGCCATTTCCTGAGTCCACTCAAAATAAGTGTTACCACTAAAAGCAAACTGTGCTTCAGTTTTGTAGCCTATCGATGCGGGGAAGATAGAGAAAATATGTTATGAATGTAATGTCCAACCCAATCCTACTAGATTTGAATCTTCCATGGATTCAGCAGGGCAAAGTGTTCTGTTAGTCAGCAAGTTCATGACATTTTAATGCAAGTTTGGTGGTATTTTCCCAGCTGCTTGAAAGAATACTTACTTTCTCCTCTCTGCCTCGAATTTGCTCAGCAGTTTGCGGAGTCCTCCGTTCTTAAAGCCCTGGAAATGAGCTGCTGGGGCTCCCACGGTGATCACGTCGTACAGAGCATCTGCAACGGGAACAGACACAGAGGTGTCAATCCTCCTCTCCCCAAGGCACAGCTCCACAAGGAGATCCACTCTATAGAACATGAGGATGAGTGTATATCAGTTCCAAGGAATAATTGATAATCTGTGTCTCAAGGAGGCCCAAGAGCTAATCAATCTTTCCATGCAGCCACCTGCACACCTCAGAAAGTTTGTCTGATTTATGGCTGTGTCTAAGTTATATGCTGCAGTGTAGAACAATATTCCAGCTCGGCAGTTTACAAAGCTGCCAAGTAAATTGGTCCTTTGTGTATTTCACTTTATTACCTCTTTCATTATTTAACCTGGAGTCCTGTTGAGATGCACAGATTCAAGCACTTTGAAGTCAAAAGAGACCATAATGATGGAAGAGTCTGACTGTCGGACCAAAAGAGGCGACAGGGTTACCCTATCTGGACCATGGCAACCCCAGCCACAGCTACAGGTTGGGAGGGGAAGGA